CTGAGACGGTCAGTGATCTATCGTATTACTACCTTGTACTTGGCATCGTTACAGCAGTCTGTAGCGATATACTCACTGCCTAATCATCTGGCCCCATCGCTAGTCTAACTAACGACTATATACGACCGATGGCCTACTTCAGAATCTGGTTGAGAATCTCAAGTATTTAAAAAAACGAAGAGAGGGAAAACAAGAACAAAGAAAGCCGTGATGCCGTCCTACCGAGAGAAGTCCCAATGGAATGAATATACACCAGATTTGCAATTACTCTCTCGTGCTCCCCATACCAAACACCATTCTCTGCCCATACACATACGCGCACAAATATTCGACCCCATAACTCAAGTCGTCTCGCAAGTGAACATAGACTACCCTGTTTGCTTGTGGGCGGCGGAGAGTCAAAAATTCAGCAGGCGATTACGAAAGTGCATGTTGCATGGGTAATGCAGAAATTGAGATACGAGAGCCTTATCCATTCATCATCGCGGCGCCACGCTGCAACAGGCAAACACTTCTAGCAGCTGCAAGGGCCGCCTGCTTGAGTATCCCTACCCTCAGCCGGTCCTAGGCTGACGCCACCTGGTCGCTGGCCGGGCCGTGTATGGCGAGGACCGACTTGGTCCAGAGGCAGCTTCTTCGCAATGGCGGTGAATAGTTCCTGTACATTTTCGGCCGTCTTGGCAGACGTCTCGAAAAATAACAGGCCAGCCTCGTTGGCGTATGCTTCCGCTTCAGCTGTTGGAACTGCGCGCTTATCAGGCTGTTCATTTACTAAATCCAATTTGTTTCCAGCAAGCGCAATGATAATATTCTCGTTAGCTTGTCGTTGAAGCTCTTTCACCCACGCCTTCGCCTTATCCAGTGAAGCCTGTGATGCCCAAGTATTAGCCAAGTTACAATTTTATAATAGACCATAGGCAAAGTACACACCGACTGAGTGATATCATAGACAACTACGGCGCAGTTGGCATTCCGGTAGTACATGGGCGCCAATGACTTGTATCTCTCCTGCCCGGCCGTGTCCCAGATTTCGAACTTCACGGTAGTGCTTTCGTCGAGGGATATGGTTTGCGTCAGGAAGGCGGCACCGATGGTTGATTCTCTGTATGAGTCAAATTGATCCTAATCAGGGCCGAGAGTAAGAAACCGAGCTTCGTAAGATGTCTTCGGGGTAGGTTGTTGGGCACCTACCTTAACGAATCTCAGCACTATTGAGCTCTAATGTAGACAGAAAGGTTAGCTTCATGTGCCCCGGCTTATCGCCCGTACCGTCGCTATTACCTTTCCTACGGCGGACTCTCCTACACATACGTCAGTAAGAGCAAAACACACCCAGGCAGCGGAGAATAAGCATACCTAACAGAACGAGTTTGAACTGAGCAAAGCGAGTGTTCATGCCGCGGCCGGCGGGGGGGCCTGCCCGAGACGCCATCGTGAGTATATCCGTGATGCGGAGAGCTTCGGAGTGCGCAGAGGCTTGCTGCGCGGTTGCTGCGGACCGAGAGACAAAGGAAGCCGACTGGCGGCACGGCGTGTCTTATCGGTAAGGAGCTTGTCGTGCACTTAGGTAGATTACGTCTGTATGGAGACGGCGTTGCGAGGAAACAAGGTGACCGGACGGGGGAGGAGTTCGGACGTTGATGGTGTGTCGTTGCGGTGACGTGAAATGATGATGCTGAGAGAGAGTATTAGGATTGAATGTCGACCACTGCCTGGGCATCTGATGAACGAAGTACCTAACCAGCCTAGGAAGCTTTGTGGTTTGAGCGAGCTGAGTGGCCAGTGGCTAACCTTTCGGGGCTTGGTTAGCAGGCTTGCTGGTGGACTTTCAGGCTCCTTCAGCGGCTTCTTGTACTTATCTAGGGACTTGAACCTAGCCAGATTACATAAACTTCTCAAGTTTAGCGCTGAATGACCTCTCATAGATGGTCAGGTGGCAGCGAAACCAGCTGTATACCGTACGAATTAGTTATCTACTGTGCCTACACTGTCAAGAAAGCACCTGCCTGGCGCTTACGTTGTCCGGTCCACATTTCCTGTACTAGGGTGGGGTCCGGGAAGCTTTGGAAAGAAGATCCATGTGATTATGCATGCGATTGATTCAATGTGGCTTATAAGAATACGTAGTATGATGACACTTTCGCATGTTGGTTCAGGAGCTTGATTCGACCACCCGCTCCAACAAATCCGCGTCCAAGCCACGATAGCAGCCCAAGCCGTCTCGATCGCTATCAACTCCCAAGGCTTCTGGGTTAGACAGCCTTCGATCTGTGTCAATAAGTTCCTACCTATTTTCAACAATCGTCGAGCTTGTCCGTGTTGAAAGCGATGAACGTGCGCCAGACGGTGCTATTATCTGGCCCAGCATGACGCTTCCTTACCGGGACATCAACGTCCACGTTGCTGCCGAGTCGTACACCTTCACTTCGCCGTCGTCGCCCAACGCTCCGGCTCTCGTTATCGATAGACCGACCGGCGATGTCCGCCTCAGTGAAAGCGCCTCCGTGAACACCAAGCGTGTCGCTCGCGTCTCTAGTATAGCCGGGATTCTGGGTCTCATTCGGCTGAGGCTGGGTACGGTCTTTCCCCGTGAAACAACCTGGTAGTATCATACTGGACTAACCGGCGGAAATAGACAAGTATGTCATCGTCATCACGAAAGCCCAGCCCGTGGGTCGCCTCAAGGGACACATGGTCTACAAGGTTATCTCAACCGACTTCCTGCCAATGCGAGAGCGTCAGATTCGCGACCCCGACGAAGACCAATTCCTGTCTCTTCTGAAAACTTTCATCATGAACGGCCCCATGTATTTCTCGTATTCTATCGACCTTACCAACAGCTTCCAGCGCCAGGCGTCTGTCGACAACTCCGCTCCTCTCTGGATGCGCGCCGACGATCGCTTCTTTTGGAATAGATTCGTACAGACGGATCTCATCGACTTCCGGAAGGTGGGAAGTCGGTCACAGCAAGGTCCGCAGCCGGCCGCCGACCCCTTCATTCTACCATTAATATGGGGCACCATGGAGATACGGCCTACTAAGTTCAAGGGGACACCCCTTACCATCGTACTTATCACCAGAAAGTCAAGATACCGAGCCGGAACCAGATACTTTACCCGAGGTCTCGACGAGGAAGGACACGCCGCCAACTACAATGAAACTGAGCAGGTCGTGGTCTTGAACGACACAGGTGGTGGTCTCGGAGGTTACGCTGGAAGCGCTGACATGCAAAGTGGCAAGTTCGGGGCTTCCGATGGCCGGGAGATGCAGATCATGTCCTTCGTGCAAACTCGAGGAAGCGTGCCCCTCTACTGGTCCGAGATTAATGCTCTGAAATATACTCCGAAAATTCAGATTCGTGGAATTGAAACCGCTCTCTCCGCCGCCAAGAAGCACTTCGATGAACAGATTCGTATATACGGCGATAATTATCTCGTTAATCTGATTAACCAGAAAGGTCGCGAAAAGCGTGTAAAAGACGCCTACGAGCAATTGGTAGACATGCTCCTTACTTCAAAAGCAGAAACAACCGATAAAGACCACCTCACCGACGAGAAGTTCCGCATTATCGAGCCTCGCACCTCCAAACAAGAATTTGACCGATTGCATTATGTCTATTTTGATTTTCACCACGAGACGAAGGGGCTTCAGATGCATCGCGCGATGATGCTCGTCGACAGGATGCAGGAGGCATTGGTAGCACAACAGTACTTCCGAGGAGTCGATATGCCTGCGAATGGTGGGCTCGAGACGCGAAATTTTCAAACAAGTGTTGTACGAACCAACTGCATGGACTCACTTGATCGTACAAATGTAGTCCAGAGCATGCTTGCAAGATGGACTTTGGATCGCATCTTTGTCGACCTAGGCCTTCTCCAACGCGGCGAGACTTTCGCCACTGTAGATACGGATTTCGAATTCCTCTTCCGCAATCTATGGGCAGACAATGCCGATACCGTGTCTAAGGCTTACGCCGGCACTGGAGCTATGAAAACGGACCTTACACGCCTGGGCAAGCGTACTAAACAAGGAACATTACAAGATGGCAACATTGCCGTGACGCGATATTATCTAAATAACTTTCGCGATGGGCCTAGACAAGACGCTTATGATCTATTCCTAGGCGCCTATGAGCCGACCACTGCCAACATCGGCTCATCGTTGATATTCGCCGACCGTAGACCGATCCTTATTCAGAGTATTCCCTACATCCTTGGGTTCAGTATTTTTCTCGTTTTCCTGGGCTTGTTCAGCAAACGTCTGCCTGATTCCACCGTTTTGCCTATGCGCCTTTTCATCCTCTTCTGGTTGGTAGTAGGCGGTTGGTGTCTAAATTTTATCCTACAGAACGGCATGCTATTCGTAAGTCCGAGCTGATCCAAAATATCTAACACCGTAACCACTTACCTTTACACGAATGTACTAATATTTGAATGATCAGGTGAATTGGCCCAAACTGAATCCACGGCCGTGGGCCACAGAAGGCTACCGGGAGACGATCGGCAAGGTCGGAAAGGGCAAAGTGATCGGCCCATTCGTCGCAGGACATGAACGCGGACTGAGCACGGCGCGTTATCTCAATGCAGAAGAGGGAAAGAAGAGGATTGAGTAGCGACCAGCTGAGGCGTTCTCATCCACAGCACTACCTTGGCCGCACGGGCTCTTATCTCTCTATCTTCGGCTGTTCTACCTTAATTCTTGTGTGTCTTATATAGAAAGACGGGACTACAGACTTATTTTGTGTTATTGTAACGATAGATTCGCTAGATATCATAATTGCCCAGTGCTTTAATTCTAAGTTCAGTATGGAGTATAATACTCTTCATTGTTCACCCCACCACCCCTCCCATCAACAGAATTCCATCTACAGATATAGCCAGGTCTTTAAAAAAGTACAAACTTGCTCTATACGTATAGTGAAGGCTAAGCCTCTTCATTCATCAGACCAGAGAGAAAGAGAGAAAGAAAAAAAGAGAAAAAAAAAATTTGCAATTCATATGCTCTCGATCGGGGAATCGAACCCCGGCCACCTGCGTATTGTTGGATAATGACAAGCAGGTATCCTTACCACTAGACCAATCGAGACTGCCACGACACGACACGTATAGGATGCCGGCGATAGCTTAGTGGTTGTTTAAATTGATTCGCTCAATGGGATGTCTGCGCCCTTTTCTTTTAAGCTCCCACTAAACGCCGTCGCTCGACTTACGTATGGGTATGGATGGGTTGATCATGCTGGTGAAACCTACGCTACACCTTAGCGCTCTTTTTAACAGCGTTGCACTACTATACGAGCTCTCACATGCCACAGGCAGTCAAGGTACGTCGTCGCCGGTTTTGTCGCGACCAAGTTATCACGCAAAAGCAGTACTTAAATGAAGCACCGAAAATCAACATCACCAAAAATCAATCTCTTCAGCAAATTAGCTCTAGAAATAGACCAGCACACGTAAACAGGTGCACAACAAATTCTCTGTTCGCGCTAAACATAGCTTTCATTCTACTGTATTCTCGGTGTCACGACGGACTAGAGCCGGCTTAACTCGGCGGTCCAATAACAAATTCTGGGCTAGGTGGCGGAGTGGTTAACGCGGTAGACTCGAATGCCAAGGAAGACATGTCCAGTGTGTCCCTTGAGTTCTTGGTGATCTACTTCCTTCGGGAGCGTCTGTTCGAATCAGGCCCTAGTCGATTTCTCTTTTTGTTTCCCTCGCTCGGCTTTAGTTTTTTTCATTGCTTAGTGCTGTGTGCGCTGCTCGTTGGAGAATTCTGGCGAGTCTGGGCTTGGGTTTTCGGCCACGTGGTAGATACTGCACCGAAGTGGGGAGAGAATTTAAAGGTTTCCAGTAGATAAGGAGAGCTACAGTAGACCTCCTAATCGCCGGCGCTGCAGTTGGCCCCTTGTAGTTATCTGAAAGAACAAACACATGCATTCAATTCCTAACAGTGCCGAACGCGGTGGGAAATGTTTCCCTAGGTAAGATGATGGTATGATGGGTTTTTTTTTTTAATAATCAAGATCTCCAATCGAGAACTTGCTCTCGCTGTCGTTTTTACTTAATACCTCTTGGCCTGTAGCATACTTCGTTTTCTCGCCACTTGTATCTTTTTCGACGTTGATTTCAGGTCCGCGCACGATATGATCCCAAATGGGTCGCGACTCGATCACTTCAATCAGTAGGGCGAATGGTCTAGGGGTATGATACTCCCTTCGCATCTCTGAAGCTCCGTCTTCAGTACAGCCTGGGAGGGGTCCGGGGTTCAATTCCCCGTTCGTCCATTTATTTTGCTAAATTTCATTGACATGTAGTTCTTTTTGTCTTTCAATTTTGTTCCTTTTTGGGATAGGTTTATGGGACGTCGAATTTGTGAGCGTGGGTGAGTGAGTGAGTGGTTATGTCTCTTGGCTTGTACATTTTGTGGCAATGCTAAGATCTGACAGACTAACAGACAGCAACTAGACTTACCGAACTCAATTCTCGGGGTCCTCCTGCTAACTGACGCTCTTAGCAGAAGATGTTGTCAATCAAATGGCATTATGATAAACAATATATATCGCCAGAAGCGCTAAATGTGATATCGTGATGGTGCAGCCGAAGCCTTCGAGCCTAACCACCTATCAGTATCCCATGCATAATCCCCAGATGTCGCCTCTTCCTATGTGCCTCCTCGACATATTGCAGCATCATAAATAACCCCGAGACCAATAGCTAACCTTGATGCATGGAGGCAGGCTGCACAGTATGGGCTCGCAAACTGCCGATCGTCTAAATGCAGATCCGGTAGAATAGGGCCGCAGCACAACACCATGCCCGGCGGCTCCCATAGGCTGGCATCGCATCAACGATATTAAGTTACGATGTCCTTTGATTATATCGAATCGGTAAGTGGGCGGGGGCAGGGTACCAGAGAGAAGAGATTTACTCCGAACCCTCTTAGCTATGCCCAAGCCTACATGTTGATTTGCTGCAATGATGGAGGCCATCCGGCTGTATTGAGATATCACACGCCTTTATTCTATGTGACGGGCCATGGGACTATGTTTCTTCTCTCCATCTACCCGTAGTATATCATTCTAGTCTTTAGCTGTGCTAAAAATCTAAGAGAATACTTCTCTTCGCATTCATCTCGTTCATCACCGAACTCAACTTCTGGATACCTAATAATAGAAAACTTGCATGATGGTTCGGTCTAGTATTCTCGCCGCTTTCCCGGCCCTTGTGGCAGCAATCCCACAGGGCGGTGGCATGGGTGGCACCGCTATGCTGCGTTTTGGCTGCAGCCAGTACGTACTCAGGGGCTTTTCCTTCCATTGGTCGTTTGGTCCCGGCTTGAATTGTTCATTCACTGCTGGCATAAACTCGGCCCTACTTCATACAGGAGTGCCTCTCATCCTTCATGTGCAGACTTGACTGACTGTATTCATTGATTAGGGTAGTCATTGAGCGTCTTGATCCGTAGGTTCTTCAAGCAACTCTGCTCGCAGCGAGCAGACAAGCAAATTGTCTAATACTTGCTAGTCTCGTAAACCCGGGTGTGAATCCATCTCCACACGTCCACCAGGTCGTTGGAGGCGTGAGTCCCGAATAACATGCATCCTCCCTTTCACTCATGTGCTTATTTCTTACTAGAACGCCTTTGCCGCGTCTATCCCAGTAGAGGATGTATCCGGCCTCTCAACTTGCACCACATGCAGCTTCAACCAGGACTTCTCGAACTACTGGACGGCGAACCTGTACTTCAAGGCTCGTAACGGAACCTACAAGCGCGTGCCTCAGATCCCGAATCAGGCCGTCAGCGGCAACAATGGTGGCATCACAGTCTACTACACCTCCCCTGGCGCGAAGCAGACGACCGCTTTCAAGCCGGTAAGATACATCTGACGCCGTTAGGAACTGCATCATCATATATTGACTATTCTTGATCAGGGATTCCGAATGCTCACTGGCGAGGCTACTCGACGTAACTCGACCGGCTTGGGGAAGAACATGCAAAGTTGCTTCCGCTGCTACACCGGACCCAATTTCCAGGGGAATGTCTACTCGCCTTGCTTCGACCCCAAGCTAGATACTGAGTATTTCCCAACGACCCCATGCCTTGGCGGTATCCGGACCAACATCATCTTCCCACTGTATGTTTCGATCACCATCTTTTGACCGCTACAAGAGTATACGGACTAAGTTACTATACAGCTGCTGGGACGGAAAGAACCTGGACAGCCCCAACCACATGGATCATGTCGCTCATCCCACAGGCGGCCCCACGTCATTTGCTGTTGTCAACGGTCAATGCCCAGCCTCTCACCCCGTTAAAATCCCACAGGTTCATCTCGAGGTAAGCACTTACACCCAGGTCTGCAGGTTATGATAGCTAATGCAATATTTTCTGGCAGATCATGTGGGATACTACGGCGTTCAACAACAAGGCAGAATGGCCCGAGGATGGCAGCCAGCCCTTCGTCCTCAGCACCGGAGATAGCACAGGTAAGACCGGTCTAACATAATATCTCATACCTATTTACTTCATCACCCCTATACACATGACAGCGGGATAGAAGGAGAAATCGGATTTCAACCCTGCCGGCTATATTTCATACTGATCACATAATCTAGGCTACGGCCAACACGCAGACTACGTATTCGGCTGGCAAGACGACACCCTGCAACAGGCAATGGATAACTCTTGCTTCGGCGCCATGTGCAGGTCGCTCACGACGCAGCCCGATTCTGTCAGTGGTGCGTGCGCTGTCAAGAACACGGTTGACGAGACTACGGAAGGATGTAAGTGCCGTCCCCTTGCATTGACTATGAGCACTAGTTATGAATGCTAATATTGGCGACAGGGCTCTCGGAGCTTCCCGGCGGTGGTATGGGAGTCTGAGGATCTAGGGAGAGAATATGATAAGAAGCAGACGGCTTCTCCTTAACACCGAGTCATGGGTAGCGAAGGACACGGCAGCAAATACATTCATTATTCAATCATCTTTAAGTTCGCGAGAAATATTTTGCTACATCCTAGCTGTAGATGTGCATGAGGATTTGTCTCTCTCTGGGTAAGTAGGGAGCCTGTTCCAAGGAAGGAGGAGTAGGGAGGTCGAAAAAGAAAACTAGTAATCGGGGGCCTCAGCCACATATCTACTCCAATTCAAGGCTCCAGAATATATACGGATGGGGCTTCTGGGCCATTTATCCCGGGAAAGTACAGTTATGAAGCATTATAAACAGTCACCTGTTCAATAGAACAGCATTCTATTTGAGACGGATGAATACATATGGATAGTTGTAATAGATATTCCTCCTTAGAGATATCGTCTTTCAGCTTTTATTCTCATTCTCTTCGTGATGCTAGCACCATCCTGCCTATAGACTAATGAGTTTCCCTTCCTATTAAGTAAATAGCTAGACATCGCAATAAAGCCATTCAGTTGAGGTTACACACATGAAATCTAATACTGTGGATCTAGCTGGTAAGTCCCTTCAATACGAACGCAAGGAGCCAGGCAGCAAACAGCGTACTCTTTTAGAGTCAGAGGAGCAATCACTGTGCTACCTTAAACATGGCAGAGGAATTCTAGTGGAGGTTCTGGAGCTCACAATGGATTTTGATTGGCAATGAAAGATACGTACCAAGCGCAACTAGACACATGATTCCGCCTGGGCTCAATGCTCCTTCCTTCGCGGTGTTGTTTGCAGTACCTCTCATCTTTAATACGGGACAGGGCATAAACCAATCACTAAAAGCTCGCAGATGGCCCCACATGATGTTCCGTTATCTCGGTGCGTAAATCAAGTATTGTCTGATAGCGGAGCTTAAGTTACACAGACATGGCCTTGATAGGAAGGTGGCGAGCATTGCAGCTACATCACAATAGATCCAACAATGCAGCATCACAAACACAATAGCCTCGGGTACGCCCGGAAGCATCAATAGCCTTATCTGACGGACTGTTAAATACGTTTGTTCGTCTTCATCCTGCAGTTCGTATAATCTGACTTTCGGATCTGAGGCTTCCTCACGTGAAGTGTCTGGGACTCCGGGTCGCCACCAGGGCAACGAACAATACTAGCGTGAAAATTTGACCTATCTTCCTTAACCATCTGGCAGTCTGCCATTTGGTCATTCGGGTATCACGTACGTGCAGCAGGTAGGTACCGTTGTACTGCTTAGCGGGATGAAGCATACTACCTTACTACTCGTGTTCAATCCTTACTCTCGCCCTCTTGCCCTCTCTCCTCTTCCCATATCCATCCTCAACTTCATTCTCAGCCACAATTACGTGGGGTCTCTCGAATTCCGCCATCGCTAATTACTTCGTCAGTTTGACATCAGTCGTATAATCTAGCGTTCTCCGAGCGTTCGCATAGAGGCTTCCCTACTGCATTATCTCAGTTACACAGGTACTGCTCCTTCGCACCCGGACCTCATGCTTGCTTTTCCGATCCAAGCTCTCTACCTACGTTGCATTACAGCTTGGCTAGCAATATTCACAGACTGTTCTGAGCTCCTGTCAATATTTTAGCACTTCCTTTCGCACAACTGCAGACGAACAGTCAACATCCATGCTAACATAGTGTTCGTCAGATTATTGATCATTTTCAAGCTGAGGAGATAAACTACCTACTCCCATAATCTCCTACAACACTATCTCAGCTGGCCACTACCGGATTATCGCCGAGCCACACACCTTCTAA